GTACAATGAGCTGGCAGTTGGAAATTACATATTGATGTAACAGTACAGCGAGCTGGACCATTGGAACTTATAAGAAGTAACCGGCTACGTACAGATTATAGTTGTTGAGCAGGTGTAGTCAAAGGGTTGTAGGAATGAGACATAATACGACCGCAGTACGACACAGTAACTGTTCATGATTATTATTTACAGATGACGATAATGGCCGGACCGGCAATTAGTTATGGCCTTTGTAAAGCTTAAATTGGACTGTTGTTGTACCAACTAGTGGAAGTGAGGTGACGACCCAAAGAATTTCCAGACCATGGACACCTAGTTAATTACGTTGCCTTTCAACGAAAAACTCCCCAATGCCTAGGGACAGGCATCCTTGACAGGAAGAGCCAAATGTAAGCGATATTCCGAGGGCCCGCGGTGAATGCGGACTTCCCGCCAGATTGCTGAGATGACACTACCGACGCGCCGTAGCCAATGGTCGGGCTCGAGCTTCGACCAATCAGCGCACCCGCGAGTATACTCAGGATGACGAGCGGGGGAACGCGTACCGGGCAGAGTCTCGCTGGCGTCGTAGAACGATACACGCTCACACCCGTATTGTAACGATCGACCTCGAGAATAAGGACGTAGAGTTGAATAAAATAATATTCGTTATATTCACGTGGAAAGTATTCTGATTGCAGTCGCGAAAAACAGTCGATTAGCTTACAATAGTTTGTTTGTACTTTGTTTATACCCACTTGTTATTTTGTTTGTACCTCAAAGGATAAAGAAATACCAGCAGGTTACAAAATGGCCAGAACCCCACATTAAAATATTTTAATTTTATTAACGGCATTCGAAAGAGAATTGTTTGTCCTCATTTGTATTTCCGTTAAAATCGTTTATACCTCAAAGGAACCGGAAGTACAGGCTTTTCAAAAAACGGGTAAATCTGAAGAATAGTGGCCTCCTCACCGATTTCGTTGAACTTAGACTTAAGGGGATCCTAAAGCCGTCTGTAATACCGGCTTTTTTTCTTAGCACTAATCTTTTAATTGGCTTTATAAAAATGCAAATTTTTTGTCTAGAATTAAAGTACGCGTCAAAATCTACGTCATGGTGGTCGAATTTATATCAAAAACGAGAAAAAATTAATATTTTTGTTAATTTTTGGTATATGTAACGACAATATTTGCTTTGTATAAAAATTACACAATAAGTATCTACAAAATTAGACCGGCATGACGTAGGGACAACATGTAAGAACAATAT